CTGTTCACAAAATGAAATCTTCATTCTTAATATGAAATTGAGGAAATATATTATTGTACTATAGCCATACCTCAGCAATCAGCGCGTTATGCTTTGCAACCCTATTAAAATTTTACAGCTTGTTTTAGAAATGACTGATTGGTAGCTTGGTGTTGGGTATGGATAGCATAGGGTTTTTAAGGAACTTGCAGACAGAACAAATCATGGAAGTAAGAAGCTTTTGTTTACCAGTTCCTGGAAACCCTTCAGCAGAAGTTAGAGAATACGTAAGCACTATGACTGAGAGAAATTGCAAAAGATGATGAATTTATAGACTCTCACAATGACTTATTTTCCTACTTCAGATTGCTGCCAATTACAGAGTAGACTGGCAGATAAGGTGTCACAGTTTACCTGCTGCCATGAAGCATGCAATACACTGCCTTGTCCAAGTTTCAGTGTAGCTGTTTGGACAGCATGTGTATGAATGACAATTCATTTACTCTTTCATAGGTAAATAGTATTTTCCTGACAAAGAATCTGTACTGTAAACTTGCATCCATGCAAATGATCATTTCCATGCAGCCTCATCCAAAATAAATACATTTTAGTATCAGCAATGCAGTGTGCAAAACAAAATGTTGATATAGCCTTACACTAAGATAAATTAGTAGAATCTGTAAAGGAACAGAAAGGAACAAAAAGTTCCATATGGATTGCTTTTAAAAAAAGGCATGTAAGAATAACACAATTCTTTCTGAGCTGTAGCCCCCCTCCAAAGATGTTTCCCACAGATTGGAAAAGTCTGTTCTTGGGTCCATGATAACTGAGCTTGTCAGTGCAAGAAAATACAGCCATCATATACAAAGAACAGCAAAGTGAAATAAAGTGTCCTTTACTAACTCTGCCCAGCTTGCCTATTAAGTATTAGATTACAGCAAATTTTGCTGCCTTACTGCTAGGAGACTGTACGGGTATATCTAGAGCTCATTCTGCTGAACGACAGATCTTCACACACCTAATCAGCTTGCCTCACAGTATCTTGAGTAAATGTTGCCTGAATGCTTTTTCATAGGATATAGTATAGTGATGTGGAAACTGACAGGTCTTATGACTTACAATTGTATACTTAAAAGAACAAAGTATGGTAATTTGAGCTGGCTTCCTTTCATGATGGTGTTGGGCACAAGAAGTCTTTCATCCTGCTTGCCTTCTCCCATTCTGTAAAAGGCAGATGACTTACCATGGTTAATATCTCAAAAGGAATCATGCTTTTACTAGCTGATCTTGATGCCTCATAAAGTATCTTTGCGATTTCAGTAATACTGTTTGCAAATGACCATATTCACAAAATATGGAGTAATGCCTGGCTAATTGTGTTTAATGTAGCTGGTGTTCTGGGATGCTGAACTTCAGCTGTCAGATGTGTTTATTAGAAGGACAGTTGAATACAATTAGACTGTTTTTCTGCTAGTGTAAGTCAGTGCAAACTTGCTGATTTCAGAACAGCTACTGCATCTAGCCAAATAAGTTCTTACAGAGCTAAATGTGGAACTGACTTTTTGAATAACAGGAAGAAGTGGAATGAGTAACAGCACCCTATAAAATAGCCAAATGTTTTTGTATTTAGGATATCTAAAAACCCTTGAGTTTGCAAAACATGCTAAATATAGCTTTTATATGTCCTCTTCTCTGTAAGGAAGGAGCAGAGATAGCAACTTAATTGCTTAATGTCTGGATTTACTTCAGTGTACTGCCAGTCTGGTGTTTAAATGATATTTATTTCTTTCATTATGGGAGGATACCTGTGCAGAAAATATTTGCAGCTAACTGTTGGAATAGATTCTGTCTTGTAAGAGTCAGGTTATTTTAACAGTAGTCTAACTTTTCCCAGTGTTATCTTAACAGCTACACCAAGTGCAGATGCAGTCAAAGGAAGCTGGATCTAATTCTCCACTGTTGTGTGTCTTGTGGAGCTATCTACAAGATGTTCAAAGTGATGTAAATACTGCTGTGATCTAACAATGTTTTTACAGTCCCCTTTTCATCAACTGAAAAGGTGAAATGAAGCGTAAGAAAATGGAAAACAGTGCCCACAGTTGTTTATAGGTATAGCTTTTATTGGTATAGTGGGTTTTTTTAGTTGGTATACCCTGGTTTAGCATTGATACAGTAATCTGAAAATAGGTGTCCACAAGTCAAGAGTAAGAAGTGCTATTTCTAATAAATCTATCTGTCCGTAAATCATGAGCAGCTAGGCAAAGGGCTATCTAGAGGAAACAGCAATTATGAGAGGAAGGTCAGGAGACTGTAAATATGAGACAACAGTACAACATCTGTTCCTTCATATTAATGCAAAAAGGAAAAACAGGAGACTGAACTACTGGCCAGTCCTTTAGGACAAAATCACCATGTCTATGCAGGACAAAAACATTCAACTGTACCACTATAATATATTTCAAAAGAACATTGTTTTCTACATATTACTGAGGGTCTTAGTTTACATATAGGTATCAATGATTTATTTCAGTAGCAGGCTACACCTACCTTCTTCACATATTTCTGACTGATTAGAAACACTGAAACAGTAAAATCTGTTTGGCCAGTTAGTGTGTTACGGATTAATGTTTAGACCTAGATTTTGTTTCATTATATGCTTTGTGCTCATGAATTATAGAATGACTCATGGTAAATTAAGAGAGATGATGTTCTTGGGGTGGATATCAGTGGATATGGGTTCAATTCCAGTCTCTGACAGGAACTTACAGTGCCTTCGGGCAATCCATGTTGTATCTTTCTGTATTTTATTTGTAAAAAGACAGTAATTGTTGTTTCCATGCTTTGCTTGTGTTCTTTCTTTAAAATTGGGTCTGGGGCTGTTTCTTAGTGCTTATTTATAATAGGCCTAGCATAATGGGATTCAAATATCACTTGGGGCTTATAAGTTACACAAGCATTCACCATAGTGCATTGGATTTATAATTTTAATTTTTTTTTTTTTAAAGCTACTATGTTCCTTGAACAATGGAAGCGTTTGCAGATGAGATTGAGTTATTTCTGGGATCTAACTGGACTGGAGGAAGAAGAAGTAAGTTTCCTCTCTGTGCGTTAATTTACTGTATAAGTTATTCTATATCTGAAGATACGCATTGATATTTAGATTTCTCATGAGTGCTCTCCAGCCCAATGCAGTTCATAGCTATGTTTTTCTAAATGACTATAACTGATACAGTTTTAAGTACCCATGTATCATTAAAGAAATCATCACCTATATCTTACTGGTCAGCACTCTAATTTTAATAATTAATGATGAAAAGGATTATAAGATAACAACAGATCATTCTTTGCTGAGAATGCCCATATGCCATTGTACAGAGTGTAATAACAGAGTGATACAGAATAAATACTTTGTCATATAGATGCTACTTCATTAGGTATTACAAAAATTCTCTGTGACGATGATTATAACATGTCAGGGTAACATAATTAATATTTGCATCCAGGTCTGTGCTGCATCTATCCTGAGCTCTAAGTACTCACCCACAGAGCTGTTGCAAGCAACAAATGGGGTTGGTTTCTTGAGAATAATTTTTCAGTGCTTTGCAGTCAGCCCATGGGGCTTCTAGCTGTACCTGAGTTGACCGAAAAGTGAGACACACTTGTTTATTAATATTGACAATGTCCCTAAATTTGTTTTTAGTTCTGTTTTTAGGCATTGTTTCACACGTCATGGCCTATGGTCTGTTTAAATTACTGACTCTCACCAGAAGATTAATTTCTAACTATGACTAAAGAGTGTGAAGTTACTAGGCCTAAATATCATACTAAGAACAGGAGCTTCTATTACATATCCCTTAACAATAGACGCTGACGTGGCTCTAGAACAGGATTGTATTCAGTAATTCAGAATTGCAGCAGTAAGATTCTCCTTTATTGTTAGTGGTAAGCTGAGTACCTGTATGGAACAATTCAGTATGCCTTGCTCTCTTCATTGACTTAATAAAATGGGGTCAGGTTCCTGGAAAGTGAGTTGTAGGCCTAGCTTGGTTTGATGGAAGGATTGGAATCCATTTCTTCATGTTCCAGCACAGTTACTTAAACAGCAGAACACATACAAGCCTCCAGCCCTGCTACTTGAGCTCAGCTCAAACAGGATGTAGAGTGCAAATAACCTAGAAGAAAAGTAAGCTGACATCATGAACTTCATGATGTAGCATGGTGATAAAGTTATTCCACTTTTGTCTATTCCTCAGATAAGAATGATTGGATAAAATGAAAAAATAACTCTGAGAAAAGACAGCAGACTCCAGTATTCCTCTTCTTCCATCACTATCCCCAAATGCAGCCTCTAGCAATGTCTTTAGCGTAAGGAAGACCACCCAAGTATTCCTTCACTGATGACTTGTCTACAACCTCCCCTATTTTGCCTCTGGTTTCTCAGCTTTTTCACTACTCTCTATCCAATTATGAAGTGGATGATGCTCACTGTATACCCCAGTACTTGCAGTTTGTAAGTGCAAAGTTTAAGTGCATCAGCACATCAGAAATTACTGCTTATCCTATGTGGAATGTCATACTGCTACTTGGGAGAACAGCAATTCTGTACTAATTACAGTACAAACTGAGAGGCTGGAGAGCAAACTCTTGGCTCTGCAGCATACTTGATGAACCCACCAGATTTTACTGAATTTCAAGTTCATCATTTGCAGTACAAAATCCTAAGGTTTAGCTCAATATTTGCAAAATGCTGTGAAAGAATCTATAGATTTGTGAGGTCCTGTGATGAAGAGCTCTGAAGTGGTAAAAGTTTGTGGACAGGAACTGTGGGATCAGCAAGAATCCTTTGTTTATGACAAGTGAAGGAGTGCCAGATACATCTCAGCACAAGTTGAAGAATTAGGAATGTAGAATCATAAAAATAAGGCTGGAATGGACCTTGAGGGGCCATCCCTTGTGCATGGTAGGATCAACTCTACTTAAATCATTATGAAAAGATGTTTGTCTAATTTGTTCTTAAATAAATCCAGCAGTGGAGATTTCACTTCCTCCCTAGGCAATCTATTCTAATACTTACCTATTCATACTGCTAATAAGCTTTTCCTAGTGTCTAACTTAAATCTCCTTGTAAATGTTAATTTTTTTTTCTTGTTCTTTCTTTCAAAGATAAAGAGAAGAGATTACCTCTGTCCTCTTTTCAGCAAAATTCAACATAATATCATATGTCTCTGTCACCCTTTTTTTTATGATGAACTAGCCTCTGCTCTTTCAGTCTTTGTTCTTAAATAATTTTCTAGACGCCTGTTTATTCTTGTTCCCTTCTGGACATTTTCTAGTTGATCCAGCTCTTTCTTGAAGAATAATGCTCCAAATGGACATGTCTCTTGACCTGACATCTTAAACAAAAAGCCATGCACTGTATGACCTTCTGTCAGCTTTTGGTACATCAGCAAAAATGCAAAAGTTATATCAGGTTTTGTTCACCTTTTATTCATTAGATTTATAAAGATGAGGATAAATTTGTCTGTAAGACAGATACTGGCATCATGTTTCATTGGTGGTGAAGTTTTTACAAGTGTCGAAAATTATGTTGGAAAATGGAAAGTTGTGCCTGATCAGGTTAGGCCGGAAGGAACTAGCAGTGGAATGCAAGTAACATAGCAAGAAGGAAAGGGACAAGGAAGAATTTCAGAAGGTTTAACAGTTTTAAGACTAGATGGAGTTAAGTTATTTATTATTATCAATTTCTTTAGAAAGGGAAGTTACGGAACCGAAACAGGGAGGAGAACAACCATAAAAGTTGAAGAGCTGAGAAGTACATTGTGAGAATTATACTGAAATAAATGCCTTCAGTGTAATTTTTGTGGACTCTTGTCTATAAAATTTTCAGTAAAATTACTTTCTTTAAACACACTGGGCCAAATCTTTTGCTTCAGAAGAGCTATATGAGAGATTAATTTAGTCCATTTATTTGTAAATATCTTGGCAATGGCAGTCTGAGAAAGCAGACTCCTTAAGGCTTCCATACATATTTTGCAGATGGCAGCTGTACAGACTTAGAGGATTTGCATTAGTATACCTGAAATCTGCAAAAATAATAGGTAGCATTGGGTACTAGACTGTAAAATAGATAGTTGTGTTGAAAAGCGATAGAGCAACTGATAACTAAATGGGAGAGGGAAAGAAAAGAAGCAAACCCAGACCAGAACCATGAAAACAGTCGAAGCCTTGGAAATACCATGAAAAAGCACACAACGTGTCATGCCACAGATGTGTTTGCGTAACCCAAACAAACAGGTTGTGCATTTGATTTTTTTTCAGTTTGTGTAATAAGGGATATAGCCATCAATAAAGCGGTGGTAGAGGTGGGAGAATTCATACCCTCTTCTACTTGTGAAGGAGCTGGTGAAAAAATACTGAGGGACTCTAATTAATGATATGGGGAGTAGAAACTATTGGCCTCCCATGAATCTTCAGGAACTGTATTTCTAGGACCCAGAATGTTCCTGCTTTAGGTTTTCTGGGTGGAAGGGATTTTACCTCATTTTACCTCATTTAACAGACCTGTGTAAACTGAAATAGAAATGCAATTGTAAAAGATGAAATCTTAGAATTTGGAGCAGAACTTGGAAGAATAAATGGGCAGAAAGTCCACACTAACTGAAATGCCAATGAGTGGAGATCTTGTTATTGTTCAAATAGTCATGCTGTTATACTGTTTCAGTACAACGGGAAGGAACTTAGGTGTCTGTCTTCATTAGAAGACAGTGTCTGGTCAATTAGAATTTTAGGTTAAAATCCTGTACTCTGTAAAATGTTTGCAAACTTTTTTTGTAAACTCTAATTCCCAAAGTCTAGTTCCTCCTTCTGCTATTTGATGACTTAAAAAAAAAAAATTATTGAACCCTTAACAGAAGACTTTAAGATACCCTGTGGATTATTGCTGGGTTAAGGTAAAGTAATAAGGAAGGTAGATTGGGTAAGACAGAATCAAATAGCAAACAGACTTGGTGACGTTAAATATGTTTACAGATAGAATAGACTATTTCAGTTGGAAGGGACCTACAACAATCGTCTAGTGCAACTGCCTGAGCATATCAGGGCTGACCAAAAGCTAAAGCATGTTATTAAGGGCATTGTCCAAATCCCTCTTAAACACTGACAGGGATGGGGCATCGACCACCTCTCTAGGAAGCCTGTCCCAGTGTTTGACCACCCTCTCGGTAAAGAAATGTTTCCTAATGTCAAGTCTGAACCTCCCCTGATGCAGCTTTGATCCATTCCCCCATGTCCTGACACTGGATCCCAGGGAGAAGGGATCAGCACCTCCCTCTCCACTTCCCCTCCTCAGGAAGCTGTAGAGAGCAGTGAGGTCGCCCCTCAGCCTCCTTCCCTCCAAACTAGACAAGCCCAGAGTCCTTGGCTGCTCCTCACAGGACACGCCTTCCAGCCCTTTCACCAGCTTTGTTGCCCTCCTCTGGACGCATTCAAGGACCTTCACATCCTTTTTAAACTGTGGGCCCCAGAACTGCACACCGTATTCAAGGTGAGGCAGCACCAACGCTGAATACAGTGTATTCCATTCTCTCCTAACTCGATCATGGTTTAACTCGATCTTCTCTAGTACATTTTCAAAATTTTTTGTGACCTGATTAATTTGATGTTTTCAGCTTGTCTTCCACCTTGCAAATTATAGGAGCAGACTCCTTTTCTGAAGTTCTAATAGCATCTAGTATAACAGGCAGTATAAGAGATTTTTGTTTGCTTAAAAAATGGAGGAGTGAAAAGCAAACTCTAATAAAATAAGTGTGTATTCACAGCTTAGTCCTCTTGGGAAAAAATAGTAATGGTAAAAGGACAATGTGTAGCTACAATATTTTGTGTTGTCTCAAATCTCTCCTTTCATCTTCACTACTTCTCGGGTTTCTTGCATCAATGAGATCTTCGTTTTGGGTTATTTTCCCCAGATGCATTATCTTACATTTTTCCCATGCCTATTCTGATTTCCCTGTTGGGCCCACGTTTCCAATTATGTTTTATATCTTTATAAGTTTTTTTTACTACCTTTTCTTGGGTTTCATCACTCCTTCC